ACGGATGTGAGGACAGTTGACTAGCCTATGAACATGGCTACTAATCCACTGAACTGTACGTTATTGCCCTGTGCTCAATAAGCAATCTCTGAAGAAAGATTGACAAAGCTTAAATTATATTCTCTAGAAAGGCGAAGAAATAGGGGTGACATGATAGAGAGCTGTGAGTGAATGGACATGACAAAGAGGGATATTATTAGGCTATTAATACTTTGAACACGAAACAATGGGTATTAATTGGATATGTTTTAGATTTAGGACATTAAACCGGGGTAAATACTGGTTCGGTAACAGGGGTGAACGCTGAGATACCTGATAGTTCATACTCTGTGTTGCACCCCTTTGCTAATGAACAAATCCACAAGGGCCGTGACGAGGATTCGAACCTGCGTCCGGGAGCATCCCAGACACTGCCTTAATTGACTGAGCTACGACAGGGTAAAAAGAGTTGAAACCGAAGTTCTACTGAACTTACTGGATCCCGTAGCCTCTCCGAGGCACAAGGATGAACAGGATGAATATGTGTTCCTTGGTGAATTATTTCTCATAGGGTGAGTAAGGGTGCGCAATAAACCACTACTCACTCGATGAGTATGAGGTGTTCAATAAGCTACCAATCATAGGATGAGTATGGGGTGCACAGTAATCTGCCACCCACAGGATGAGCATTGAGTACACAATAAACTACCACTCATAGGATGAGTATGGGGCGCACAATGAACTACCGCTAAAATGATAAGTTTGGGATGCGTAAAACTCTAATGCTCACAGGATGAGTATTTCGTGCACAAAAAGTACTGATCACAGGATGAGTAAGCACAATAAATTATCGACCAGAGTTTGAATATGGGATGCAAAATAAATTACCTTTCACAGGATGAGTATAAGGTGTTCAATAAACTAACGCTTACCGTAGGAGTATGGGGTGCAAAATGAACTACCACTCATAGAATGAGTATGGGATGCACAATAAACTGGCACCCACAGGATGAGTATGGGGTACACAATAAACTGCTACTCATAGGATGAGTATGGGGTGCACAATACGCTACCACTCAGTGGGTTGAGTATAAGGTTTACAATAAAGTACAACTCACAGGATGAGTTTGGGTGCACAATAAACTACTGCGCACAAGATGAGTATCGTGTACACAATAAACTACTTCTCGCAGGATGAATATGTGGTGTGCAATGAACTACAGCTCACTAGATGAGTATGGGGTACATAATGAAGTTCCACTCACAACTTCAAGAGGTTGAATATAGGGTGCACATTAAAATTCCTCTCGCATGATGAGTATCCGTTGCACGATATACTACCGCTCACGTACAACGTGAGCGTACATAATAAAGTACCACTCAGGGGATGAGTATTGGGTGCACAATAAATTACCAATCAAAGGATGAGTATAGAGTACTGTCATGATATGAGGCAACGTAGTTTAGGCTACCTCAATATGACAGTTGTTCCTGGGCATTATCTCATTAACTGAGAGCAAATATTCCTATGTGTGGATGAATAAACGGTGGAGATACGAGATGATAAATAATGTAAAGAGAATAAATATGGTTGGGATTGAGAATCAACAGAAATATTGTGAGAAGGAAGAATCGAGATGTGTTTCCTCCTCTATGAAGAAGAAATTTCCAGGGGGAAACCGGTGGACCAGTAGAGATTCGAAACGCAATAGAGAGAGAGTCCGGACTGTGATGTCACTGTCTTCTAAGATGGTGACATCACGCCGACGAGATATTGAAATAAGTTTATTGAGGTAAAATACACAAAAAAAGATGACGTAGCTCAAGCTATTCTCACCCCGTTCTGTACATCGTGTTAATACATACATAGACACACATCCGCCGACGAGACTTCCGTCGGAAGGAAAACCGCCACTTCACTTGATAAATTCAAGAGGGCTGGCCACCTTTAGCATTTTTTTTTTTTGTTTCACGAGCTCGTTTCAGCGCTCATAGACCCGTGAGACGGACTGAACCACACTTGCGTCAAGACTGGGAGGATTAGGAAGACGATATTAGCAGCTGCTCATGATGAATAGCCTGATTCGCCGGCAACAATGAAGAAAGATGTGCTGAGTGAGTGTCACGTCGCGGAGACCGGCAGATAGACCCACTGAAGGGTTGTGTGTCGTACAAGGGACGACGTTCCAAGTTTGTCGCACCTCTTTGAGGAGAGGCGGGGGACAGGTGAATAAGGAAGGTCACTTTGGCACGGAGGCTGCACCGAGGAACACACACCGAAGAGGGAACGAATTATTATTATTCCTATTAATATCTTTAATGACAAAATTAATTACAATTTTGCCTAACCTGAGGATTTCAATTAAGTTTTATTAAAGTGAGGATAATGCTGGTATTCACTGTCACGCAGGACAGAGGGCTATACACATGACAATAGGTCTAAACTGTAGGCTGAAGCACATATATATCATTTTTAAAATCAATGTTTTATTGTATGAATATGTGAAAACA